GGACTCTTTAAACTTCATGAACGCTTGTTCACATACTATTTTTGTCCTTCCAATGTGATTTAAAAAATGTTAGGCATTTATTTCATAACATCAAAATGAACTTTCTTAGGCCCGCAATTCGACTAGTTCACTTTTGGACTTCTTTTGTGTTTCGAGGAGAGAGATGTTCAATAATGCTTATAATCTCTCTAATTTTGCTTTTATTCCCTCTGGTGTCAATAAGTAGTCAAGAAACTTACTAGTGGATGCTTTGAAGGTACATTTTAGTGGATTTATTCATGTATTAGATTTTTGGAGGGTTTAGAGTGCCTATTTTAAATCTTTTATGTGTTGCTTGGCTGACTGACTTTTAACCAACACATCATCCATATACACTCAAATATTTTTTCCTATTTTCTTAGAGAAAATTACATTCATAAAACACTAGTAGTTAGCCTTGGTGTTTTTAAGGCCAAAGGGAATAAAAGGTTGTCTTCTTTACTTCATCTAGGTGCATCTTTATTTGCTGGTAGATGCAGAAAGCATACAAGAAGCTCATTACAGTGTGACAAACTTTCAAGTCCATCAAAATGTCGATCCTTGATAGTGGATAATAGTCCTTCTTGCAGGCAGCATTCAAGTTGGTGATTTTTATGCACATCATCCATTTGTCATTCAACTTTTGTACCATGACCACATTGGAGATCCACATCGGGCACTCACCTCTCAGATGCGGCCTACCTCCTTCACCTTCTTGAGTTCCTCTCTAATCAATCTTCACGAGATTCATCACCAAGAACCTGATCTTCTACTTCATTGGTTGGTTGGCTGGATTAACTTTTAGCCAATGGTAGATGACGTCGAGCGAAATCCTGACATCTCTGTTGCCAACCAAATAGAACGATGCATCTTTCATCCCTACATCAAATTTTTTGTCTATTAGAAAAAAAAATATTGATCGCTCCATTGTCCGCAGGTACTTCAAGGGTGGCCTTGTTGGCCTTGAGACTTCCCTCATGTCTATTATAGGAGGTTGAGTGGCTCTTGCTCCACACTTCCAACTACTTGAAGATAGCAGATCAGGTGCTGCTCCAAATTCTCCCGAACATTAATGATTCTCTCTGCTAATAGAAAATTTCATTGCAATTTGGTATGTAAATAACACAACGTTGTAATTGTTTAGTAGAGTGCAACTGAAGATCATACTATAGGTTGGCGGCAAGTTCGCCACTAGGAAGTCTTTCATGTAAGAGAATTCCTTCTCACCTTCTCCCCAAGTGACTATCCATGTGATTACCCCTAGGCCATCATTCCTCTCATAGAGAAACCAAAAAATGGGTTGGTTGGTGCCTCCAATCGTTTAGCTTGGAGGTTCATTTTATCAAACACCAACTTAAGCAAGATGTTCACAGCGCTATCAATGTCAACCATAATACTGCCTATCAGGTATTTGCCAATCATCGCCGTCATGATGATGAAATCATTGTATGGGTTCTTTTCTTGGGGCAGGTTTACATCAGTGAATGTGATTGGTGGATGGGAGTTTCACTTTGAAATGAAAGCTAATGCGCAAAGTTCTCCCGATGGGAGATGCATTAAGAAATGACTGACATTATCCCAGTGATCTAGATGGCGTTTGCCCACACTAACTCATCCAAGATTTCTTCCATCTAAGCCATCTCATTCCTTTGGGTCGTAACTCCAATCACTACAAATTCCTTGAGCTTTCTAGCTCTTATTAACACCTTGATCAGAATCCGGAGTTGCATGCATTCCTTCATATCATGGCCAAGGTATCTGTGATAGGAAAAATATTTCTATCTCAGAGAAAAGCTCTTAAGAAAAGCTCTTACTCTCATTAGTGGTTCCTTCTTAAAGTATTATTTTTTTCTGGATGGCCTTTACTAACTATGTCATCAAGAATCTGAGTGGCATGGTTCTTGGCACTTCATGATCATTCGACGACTGCTCATGATAATGAGATGGTCGGTGGTTAGTGTACCTCATTTGACCTCCTCTGTTTTTATTCTTGATGGCTCCCTTATTGCCCCAGGGTGGCTGGTTTTATTTGTGTTGTGACCGAGTAGAAGTAAGCGAGTCCTCCCTCGGCCTCCATTAGTTGTCTCTTAGGGTCATCCTCTTCAAACGATTCATGGTTGCTTTTTCCCTCGTTGACCAAGGGTTGTACGCTTTAGCCAAAATGTAATTGTTGGCCAACTCCAACAATTCAATTAGAGAATTTGGTCATAGATAACCCAGAGCATTGCGGAATGCTCCTTTGTTTAACACTTGAGCTAGGGCGGCATGTGCTACAACGGGTTCCAGATCTTGCAACTCGAAAGTCTCCTTCTATAATCACATGACAAATGAGCGGAGGCTCTCATTTTGCCCCTACCTAATCTACAATAAGTCATGTGACCTCTTTTGTGGCTTTTGGGCATTGAAAAGCTATATCACAAATATCCCCTTGAATTCGTTAGTGGAAATGATTTCTTGGACCGACCGTCCATTGAACTGCCTGGGGTCAACTCCCTTGATGTGGTGAAAAAGAGGCAACACTTTTAAGCTTCAATGATCCTTAACAGGAAGAAAATTGACTTGAAGGAGGCAATGTAGTCAGTTTTGCAGACGATGGTCTACCTTCTCTGACCTTAGTTTAGCAAAAGTTTGGGCGCGCAGAGCCCTCCCCCCCCCCCCCCCCCGTGCGCGGAGAGCCCCCCCCCCCCCCCCCTCTCGGGCGACAGTCGGAGAATGCATTCTCCTAGGCATATTTCAAATGATTTACCTTTGTAAAATTCAAGCGGCGAAATCTTAAACTTTATAGGATCTTTAGCAGCTGAAATATGCTAAGGGAATGCATTCTCTGATTGACAGGGGGTCTCAGTGTGCCCGAACCACTACTGTCTGTGAACACTAGCCCAACCCTATTCTGGTGTTGTGATTCTTTTGTTCTTTCTTCAGGCTAGTGTGCCCTCCGACTGTTGGGCGTCAGTTTCTCCTAGTGGTTTTGTTTCCTTCTTCCTTCTACTGCTTCTCTAATGGACTCTAACATTTGGCACATCTGATCCTTAAACTCATGGATCTATTGTTGGACAAACTCCCGAGTGCACTCCATGTTTGCTAAGTCTCTTTGGCGGGCTTTTCTCCGTGTAGTGCTCTTCTTGTTGCTGATATGATCAATGTTCACCAAAACTTTTAGGCTGTTGAATATAAATCTGTCTTATGAATCATAACCAAGGAATAGAGAATAAAATAATAGAGAGAGAGAGAGTCACAGTAAAGAACATATTCTTTTGTAATCAACTGATTAACTTCTTAATATAGAAATGACTGCCTATTTATGTGCTAGAGGGTATAAAATGTACAATTGCATGCTTGCCCCTACTTTTACAGGGGCACGATAAGGTATTTTAAATATACAAAATAATTGGCATGTGACCCAACTATCCTATCACTCAGCCAGTTGAGATTGGTAGCTCTTGGGTCGGTAAGGCTCGTTCGGTCGACTCTATCGAGTAGAGAGAGCCGATCGACTTTAGTTTTCTTTTGGTCATCTGGACTTCTCTTGGTCAGCTTGGTTAGCCAGTTGACTTCATTAGTCTAGCTTTCAACTATCAATCCCAAGATGAGAAGCTCCTGTAGCCAGGATGAGAAAAAAATTATCGGGCAGAGGGTTGATCATTGTAATATGACAGATAGCCTACCACTTGATAGGAGTTCCACCTGGAGTGTTTGTGGAGTGTGTTATGATGAGAACCTTAGAACTCTTGTAGAGTCATGGAGGCTATTCTGAGCTGGCTGGCGATGTTGTTAGGAGAGTTGGGTTGATGCTTTCTCTTCATTCAATGAATCGTAATCTTTAACTAGGGTGGCCTTCATTCGTCCGGCTTCAGGTCTTGCTACATGAGAGCTATATTTGGTTAATTATGTCTTTTAGTCTTCAATTGACGTGACCCTTTATATTCTTTCTGTGGGTCATCCTTGATCAAACTTTTGACTCTTAGTTTGTTAAATTTTCTCGTGATTTGTGTTGAAGCTCTTTTGACATACAAAAGAATTCTTTTTTTAAGAATAAAATGAATATCAGTGAATCCACGAACAAATATGATAACATATTTTTGTAAGATAATAAGTAATATATTTATAATAAAATTTAGAAAACAAATACATTGAATTGGTTTACAGATTAAACAATTTCTAAAAATATGTTTTGTATTTTTTAGTGGAGTTGATGTCAATCTGTGCAATTTAAAAGATAATTATGATTTCATGGGATGCACTTAGAAATTAAGCCGAGTTTTAAATTCCCTAAAAGTTTGTTTATATCTGCTTTCTTATTATGTTGCTCTTCTTAGTGCTCTCACAGTTATGTTTGGTTATTAATTTCTTGCTATTTTTAAAAATTTTTATATAAGAGGTTACTTTATACAGCTAAATCTCCTAAAATATAATAAGAATAAACTTCCATTTCTTGGAAATTTCCATGATGGGAAGTTACTTTTTACAATAAATATTAAAAATATTTATATAAGAAGCTACTTTATACAGCTAAATCTCCTAAACCCTAATAAGAATAAACTTCCATTTCTTGAGAATTTCCATGATGGGAAGTTACTTTTTACAATAAATATGGTAAAAAACTGTATAATATCTACAATAGCTTTAACAAATTTGCTTTCCCACCATAGTCTTACAACTATATTTACAAAAAATTATACCTACCTTAAACCTTCATATATCAAAATGATGAAGCCACAAACAATTGTACTGACATTTTCTTTATTTATAGAATAGTTTCATATTACATAATAAGTAATTCAAAGTTCAAACTAAACATCTTGTATTGATTTTAGGGTTGCATCTTCTCATATATGCATGCATAAATCATTTTAGTTGCAAAATTTAAAAAGTTTACATAAAAAAAGTGAACTTTAAAACTATGACCAACCAAACATGTCACATAGTTTTTAGAAATTTCATCATTCACAAAAATAAAACATAAATTATAATCACTTTGAATTGCAAATGCAATTTACAACCCATTAAAAGCCTTGATTACAAAGTTGAAGAAAACACAATTTATAAGTGTATCGCCGCGCAAAGCAGCACGGTCGCTGGGAGAAACCCTTTTCTCCACCACCAATTAAATTAGTGAGGAAATGATCCTCGCATTTGCCCAGTTTAAATGCACTTCTCATTCGAAAATATTCTCCTATTCCTTTAGCAGATGCACAAAAATGCAGGAGGCAGCGGGCACATATCCTGTGAACAATTTGTTCTGGAAATCAAATAAAGCTCCCGTAACAACTTTGAACAAGACACAGAGCAGATGTTGGGCCAAAATTTCTCATCTCCCTTCGTAAATACTAACTGAGATCTGATTTACTGATGAGTTATCCTCTAAATCAGGGCTTTTGATTGAGGGAGATTTTAAATGAGAAGATTCTGAGCCATGACTTCTGCTCTGTGAGCCTTGGCTTTGGCTATGTGAGCCATGGCTGTCAAGAAATGGAGGCTGGGTGGGATCGGGCAGGTAGTTCTGCGTGCTCGTCAGCATCTCGACAACCTTCCACATTGGTGGTCTCAGGCTGGGAGAAGCCTGCACGCACAGAAGCCCAACTTTGAACACCTTGATGGCTTCCATATCTGAGCAGGTTCCTTGTAGGTTAGGATCCAGCATCATCATTAGTGTATTTGAGTTGTAGTGCTGCCATATCTTTGTTGGAAAACATAAGACTTAGTTATAGTTACAAGATTTAAAAAAAAAATAAGAAAGGAATATGACTCTCGATGAAGACATACGTTTAGTTAACTACAATTTGATTGGTTACACTATTTAAGCCAAAGTATGGATAAAATAAGATTCTTTTAACTAAGTTATGTATGAAGTAGTGATAAAGTGTGAAATGATAGCTTACGAAATGTTCATACAAGTGAGATATAAAAGACGCATCTATTGAAATAAGAAAACAGTGATTTGGGAATAAAATAACTAGAATTTACTTTTGCCCAAAAAAAAAAAAAAAAACAATAAAAAATAAAATCTTACACTAAATAGAGTTAACATTTCATATAATACTCATCAAAAGACTCATAAATGTTGATCAAAGTATTTCGAAAAAGGCTAATGATAATGAATAATAAGTAGAATTGAAGGTTAGTTCTACCTGCTGCATTAGAGAATGACCTTCTGCTGAAGTCAATATCGAGCTTTGGTTTTTACGGCCAGTAAGAATTTCAAGAACAACAACACCATAGCCATAGATGTCAGCCTTCTCCGTCAGCTGGCCATGGAAAATATATTCAGGAGCCATGTAGCCACTGCAAGCATTGATCAGTTCCAGAACAATTGTGTTAGAATATGTACATGATACCGGTCAGCGGCTTATATGCTTAAACTTCAAGGTTGATTTGGTTTGTATGTTCTAACATAATATTCCAAAATATGATTAGTTCCATCATGTCGTATTAGGGTACCATACCATATATGTGTTATTTATAAATTTTATTGCAAATATCACATAACAGTCTTTCTTTCTTCTTTTCCAAGTTTGTTTTCTATTTTCTTTTCTTTTTTTTTTTCCTGAGAAAGAGCAATATTAGAGGTGACTAGAATGAAGACATGTTGCAATCAACAAACATGCCCTCACAAAAGATTAAGATAAAAGATACCATGAACCAAAATTTTTCCCTCAGAATATAGTTATTCATGGCGTAATCAATGAACTTTAAGCATTAGTTTGGTTGATTTATAGCATTAAACAAAAATAAAACTGTAATAGTACAAAATGAAACGAAAAAAGAAGGGGGGCTTGTATGGCTTACAAAGTTCCTGCTATGCCAGTGCTGAGATGGCTTTGATCCTCTGCAAAATACCTCGCCAATCCAAAATCTGAGATCTTGGGCCTGAACTTATCATCCAACAATATATTGCTGGCTTTGATGTCCCTATGAATGATTCTAACAGCTGAAGCACTGTGCAGATAAGCTAAGCCCTCTGCAGTGCCCACAATTATATTGAACCTTCTTTCCCAATCCAGCGCAGTCTTCATGAACGAATCTAAAAACATTAGGAGGGCAACAAAATCCAATTAGATTCAACATTTTTCTATTCATTTGATGTTTCCAAGCATGGTTCCTTCTCACCAAACAAGTAATGATCAAGGCTGGTGTTGCTAAGAAACTCCAAGACAAGCAGGCTTTCTGGTCCTTCAACGCTGCAACCGAGAAGCTTTACAAGGTTCTTGTGTTGAACTTGGTTGATGAGAGTTACTTCATTGAAGAATTGATCAACCCATTTGGTCGTATTAAAGAAAAGCCTCTTCACAGCTATTTCCTTGCCATCCGGCAGAATCCCCTGCTTGTGCAATGCCCACAATTCACTTTACAATTTCAAAGTAATTTATACACTTAGCATTGAGGCATCTTATTGTCCTTCTCATTTAACCCGAATATTTTCTTAATAAAAATTGAAATTAAGAAAAAAATTCAAAAATAGAAAGTAAGTATGAACTAAAAAGGTTTTAAACAAATTCCCTCAACTGAATAGACCAATTACCTTATAAACAGCGCCATATCCCCCTTGACCGAGCTTGTTGTTCTGACTAAAATTGTTTGTGGCCTTGCTCAAATCCTCATATTTGTAGCTTAGATGAGATTTTGTGATGGATTTAATAATCTGACGATTCCCACCAGATTCACCTGCATCAATAATACGATTCACAACAAATCATTATCAAATAGCAAATATTTTCCGTTTAATAAGCTTAAAAAGATATGCTTTTTTCATCTTCAAATTCCCTTTACCTCTTCCATAACCAAAAACAGACCTCCTCATCCTCCACAATTGAAGTAACCCAACCACCACCAGAGCACCCAAAACAGTAGTCACAGCAATAATTACTTTGCGGTGAGCTGCGGAAAATCAAAATAGAAAAAGTTTACGTTCTTTTTTCTTTTTACCAGAAGAGAAAAAATTAGAAACACCACAAAAAAAAAAAAAAAAAAAAAAAAAAAAAAAGACACAGTACCATTAGAGCTCCCACCGCTGCCTTTGCCCCCTGCATCCGCGGTCAAATAGAAAGCCTCGGTAGAATACCTGACGAAGCAACCGGCATTCATGGCTTTCGCTTCGTCGGCAGGCAAACACCGGCCGACGATGCTCTGTCTCCCTTTCTCCAAACAGTGCCTGCAACCACTAGCGTTCAATGACCTCCAACACTGGGCCATCCCATAAGCCGTCACATCCGGCGACACCTGCACGCTTCCCACCTGGTAATAGCCCTTCCGATAGGCCTCGGCCGTCAAATTCCCGACGAGCTCAGCGGTCAGATTCGCGAATGACGACTGAAGCGGTTCGCCGACTGTTCTGTTGCTGCATGCGTAGGTGTCGGCGGAGTCGTCGGAGTGAGCAGAAACATTGCGATCAGCGTATTCGAGGAAGCAGCCATCGAGATAGATGCGACCGGCGGGCGCGGGGGGGCAGGGGGGAGCTTTACTCTGCTCTGGGAGTAACAGAGCTGGCAGTTTACAGAGGAGAGGTAAGAGAAGCACTGGCCCAAGCCAAAGACGGTTGGGGATGCGTCGGAAGCAGAAGTGGCGAATCCAGCGACGGTGATGTTCTTGTAGATCTTCTCCATGGCATCGACGAAGTTGACGTCGAAGGCCTCAGCATTCTGGGTTTGGTTTTGGCCGCAGACAGAGAGGAATATGGCCGGCGATGGGTTGTCGGCGGCGGTGGTTGAAAGTGAGAAGAGGAAAAAAGGCAGGAAAAGGAGAGCGCGAAGCAGCATTTGCGGGGTTGGGTTTGGGTTCGACGGAGACCTCTCGGTTCGCATTTTTGCAGCTATGACGACCAAATAGAGATAATAAACAAAAAATTATTTTAACACAAACGCAAATATTCTCCTATTCCGTGTTATTTACATATTATATAATATTTATATGTATTGTGTTCTCAAAATATTTTTGGTATTATAATAATATAATAACACATAAATATCATCACAATAACACCTGACACAATAACATCTGAATAACATAGAATGAAATATTTTTCTGTGCTATCGATCCAAATAAAAGAATAATTTTTTTTTTTTCTCATCAGCACGAGTGAAAGTGATTTATTGAATTCTTTTCACAGGATAATAATCAAAAGCGTGTGGACCGCGACGCAGCCTGGCCAAATATTATATTGCGTGCGGACGTTCCCATTGGAAGAAAAAAACACACGAATGGAAACGAGTAGTTAACTTTTTTTTTTCCCCCCCACTCATTTCGCTCTCAGCATGGAAAGTTTGAAATAAAAAAATAAAAAAACTCGGAAGATTTGATAACTACTTTAACTTTGATAAATTTATTGTTAGATTAATATATAATATATATATATCTTCTACGTTTGAACACTTTATCATAAAGTCATACCTTAGTCTTTCTTCGGGGCCGGTAGACTTTTAATCGACTGTGCCATAAGTTTAATTTAATATTTTTTTCCCAAAATTTATTATTTAAATGTATTAAAAGAAAGTATAAATCTTCAAAACCGACAAGGATAATTAATGTAAATTTACAGCTTATTTATCTTCAAGTGATGTGGATGAAGCATATATTAAAATACTATAAAGATGTTAGGCCATGACCAATGCACAAATGCCCAAGATGAAAGGGAGAAAATTAATAATGAAGATCGTAGAATGAAGCTAAACTTGTGTGTCAGGTGTTATCATATGTCATCTTGTCTCCTTATCTCCTTGTGCACACATCTTCTCTTTTATATATAACAAAGTATCATGATTACATAGATATACATAAATATTAGAGTTAAAATATATTATATTGTCCAATATTGAGGTGTATCATATGACATCCATGTGGCTTAATTGATCCTGTAACACCCTCTGTAATTGAGTACCGATATAAGTGGATGTTGAATTCAAATTTAGCCATGAGACACACCCATAAGATTTGAGTGTTTGAACCAAGAAAAAATGAGAGAAAGAGTGAGGGATAGAAGAGAGGTGTGGAGTGTACAAAATGAGGTAGCTCTTGTGACATTTTTTTATAAAATTAAATAAATTTTTTGCATAAAAAGAGTGAAGAGCCTAAAGTCTCTTCTTGTAAAAAGATACATGAGAGAAAGGAGAGAAAAAAAGGTCCTATTACATGAAAAAACCCACTTTATTTATATGAGAGAGTGAGCAATGAAGGAAAATTATATTTATAACCCCGCTTTATGGAGGGTTGTATATGTTATTTAGTTAAAAACCCTAATGGGCTAGGGTCTTACTGCTCTTTTGCTCACTCGATTGGGGTCGAAGAGGTGAATTGATTCGTGTTGGAAAATTATATTATATTTTCTTTATTTTCCAACTTGTACTTTTGATTTTTGTTTTTGATTATGATTGTAGGAATTCAATAATTTGCTTGTGATCACACTATACTAGGTTTAGATGTTTAGTAAACTAGATATTCACCTGTTAGAATATTTTATTGCCCTTTTCTCGTGTGATAGATACATGATAATCTGAATCCGTAATATTAATTTACACATATACTTGTGTGATACAACCGACTTACTACAGCGTGACTTTTTGAGCTATCATGTTTTTGACACTGTTGTCGGAGAAATGTGTTACAAAAAATTAGATTTTAGGAGAATTGTAGTTGAACTGCTGAGACTCTAGGCTTAGTGATTTCAATTTTCTAGTTTATGTCTATTATATTTCTATTTGTACTTGTATCGCAACTTTGATTTCTAGCAAGTAATAGAAAATAAAAAAGCTGAAAAAATTATAAAAGCCAAAAAGTCAAAAAAAAATAATAATTATTTTTTTAAATATCTATTTTATTATTTCTATTTGCATGTGGTATGTCTTGCATTTGTGCATGTTGACTTACTCGTAAGGTTCAGTGTGATTGTCTGCTTTTTTAGAGTCTATCAAGTCTATTGTAGGATCACATAGTCACTATCGGTGTGTATGCGCCAGAGAGCCGAGTTTGACCTTGCCCCTTTTGACGTTGAGATTAAACAACTTTTAGATGCCTCAGGATATCACATTTACTCACAAACACACCCACATTAGTTGTTAACCCTCAAGACCCCATTATGAAGCCTGTTAGAGATTATACCAACCCATTTGTGGAGGAGATTCACCTTACATCAATTACCCCACGATTAAAGCCAACATTTTTTAGCTTATACATGCCATAATTCATATGGTTCAAAATAATCAGTTTTTGAGAGCACTAACTGAGGATCCTTACCTTCACCTAGATAACTTTTTGGAATTGTCTTCCACCTTTAATTTTAACAGTGTCCCCAATGATACTATTAGGATGTGGCCTTTTTTGTTCTCTTTATGAGATAGAACCAAGACATGGTTAAAATAAATAGCCCTAGGATCCATCACCACTTGGAATGGCCTAGCATAAAAATTTCTAGCAAAATATTTTCTGCCCTCCAAGTCTGCCAAATTTAGGAATGACAATATGACATTTGTGCAAATGGAGGGAGAGACTATTTAAGAAATGAGAGGGATTTAAGGAGTTGCTTAGGAAGTGTTTCCAACATTCCCTGCACAATTGGCTAACTATCCAAACCTTCTACAATGAGATTGTAGGATCTCTTAGGTCCATTATAGATGCTGCTGCAAGAGGTTCCCTTATGGTCAATCCATGTGAAGAGGCTTAGACACTGATAGAAGTGATGGCAAATAATAATTTACGGTGGCCTTTAGATAGCATAATCCTGAAGAAAGTGGCTAGTGTACAAGATATTGATCTCTTGGCTATCTTAGCAACCAATGTAGCACTCATTTCTATGAAATTAGACAATCTGTGAGTGAATTTAGTGCCAGGATCACCAACAAGTGAAGGAATATTATACAGATTGGTGATAGATCCTAACATGAATACTTTAGAGGCTCATACTAAGCAAGGTCATAACTCTTATTCTATTACCTACAACGCAGGTTGGAAAAACTAATCCAACTTTCAATGGAGCAACAATAATTGACAGTAAGGGAACCCTCAAGTGAACTCTATAGGTAACTGGAAAAAACATAGAAATAACCCCAAAAGAAACCATACCCACAAAGATTTCAAGCCAATACCTAGCCTATGTACAAAAGGTCGCCTCTTGAGGAATTGATGATTCAAATGGGAAACCAATTACAGAGCTAGGTTGTAGCCATTAAGAAACTTGAAACCCAAATTGGACTGCTTGCAAACTCAATGAATAACATACCTTCAAGGGCACTCCCAAGCAACATAAAGGTCAACGCTAAGGACAAAAAACTGGAGCAGCGTAAGGCAATTAGAGTGAGAACTGTGATAGATATGGAAACTAGTTCTTTCTCAATCAATCTATTTCATTATCACACGTGTTTCAAATTTTTAGCATGAGCATATATATGCTTACACTCACCCTAGGACTAATGTGTGTCTAGGAGGATTTTCCCTCATAATCTAGTTACAAGTACCGGTGTCCTTCCACTTGGGAATATTACCTCGCATCTTGGCTCATTGACAACCCTACATGTCATTAAGCACTCTCACACCCTTGCATGTTTTCTTTTGCATAAAATCTTGTATGCTCACATTTTGTGTGCTTATAATTGGCTTATGAATCTGTGTTCCTACAAAATCACTTCTTTTCTTACATATCTTGTGTGAGGGCACCTATCACTTTAAGTTTACCCATTGTAATTCTCTCTAGTGAGAATTATGAAATTCACTATCCTATAACACCATCCTAAGAATATCATAGGTGTGGTTCACTATGTGTGCTCACCGGTGCAAGTCAAGCGCCTACAACCTTTGAACTTTCCAGACACACTATGTGTGCCCACTAGTGCAAGTCATGCTTCTATAGTCTCTATACTTGCATAATATACGATGTGTTCCCCCTTGGATATGAAGCATCCGTCGATGCAAGTCATTCTTTTATAGACTTTGAACTTTCCCAGTGCACTATGTGCACCCATTTGGGCATGCACAACCCCTACTTAATATGAGTCATGCTCTATAGCCTGTGAAGCCATTTGATGTGCAAGTTGTGTTTCTCGTCTTCCATTGCAACCCTTAGTATTACCATGAACACATTCATGCATGATCATGTGGTATGCCTCACATCTATATGTCTTTACTCATAGTGTTTTATATTAGCATATGTTATCACCTCCATGGTAATAAATACTTTTTTTCTTGAGATCACTCTCACCTTAGTAGGATATCAAAACACACAGAAACACTTTGTACTTGCTTATGCATTCACTTACTTGCCTTGATGGCAAACCAAACCAATCCCGATATTTGTCCTAATGTAATAATGAGCATTATTGATGAGCATATCTCAATGAGCAATGCAATTTATTGCATTAGAATCAACATGCTTGATTGTTCTTAGGTTCTAAGGTGTCTAACATTTGTCACTTAGGTGTACCTTTTTTAGGATTAATTTAAAATAAAAATATATTTTTACTAGTTATGCATCATATTTTAAACCTTAATTGCATAATTAACTAGATCGTCTGTATGGTTGCCTCTTTTAAGATCTTTTTCTAACATTAGCATTCTATTGATGTGTTTTAGAATCCTTAGATCTTCAGGATTGGGTTGGGATCAGCAACCTGCACAACCCTTGCCCACACTTCACACACTCTTTGATTTTGTGTTGAAGGATCACTTTGCACTTAGATGATGTGTTAAGCTATGACTAGGGTGCTAAGTAGTATTTTTTTAGGTCTAGCTATTGTTCTCTGTTATTTGGTTGCTCTAGCTAAGCATCTTTTTGTGCGCTTATTTATCTATTTACTAGAGTTTGAAC